TGGGGGTGGGTGGGTGGGGGAGAAATCCTTACACATCCATCTGTGATTTTGATCTCAAAACCAAACCACCAAGCAGCCACCATTTTCAAGTGGCGTTTTTTTTTTAACCATCTATCACACAGTTCCCTTTCGTCAGCTATCACAGAAAACTAGTCACGAAGCAGTAAAGCAGCTAGTCACGAAGCAGTAAAGGCTGCTCAGCGATTCATCTATGGAGGAGCTGCAGAAGAAAGCCCAGGTCTCCCCAAAGCCAATCCCAAGGTCAACATATGCTAGTCAATTTCCTGCATATTTTTTTCTTTCTCGAGGTAGAGTCTACAAACACTTGGTCACTGAAAGCCCCACTTCATCCCTGGACTTCTGCTCTCTTCTCTCATTGCTGACTCTCTCTTCTTGCTCCCCCACAATCACAAACACAGCATTTAGTTTTTCTTCTCATTGTAATAGTCCAACCAGTGACCATGGCAATGGTGAGCAGAGGAGCCACAGAAGCAGGGTGAAGGTGATGACTGTTGTGGATTTGGCTCCCCATCCTCTCCATCAGCTTTCTTTGTCACCCCAAATACCCAATCTACACCCCAAATACCAAATACCCAATCTAAGTCACAATACTGTTACCTGTTCCTGTACTCAAAAACTCACTGCCGTTGAGTTGGTGCCAGGTCATAGCTTCCCTATAGGACAGGATAAAACTGCTCCTGTGAGTTTCCAAGACTGTAACTCGTTATGGGAGTAGACAGGTCCGTCTTTCTCCCACCATTCCTGTATTAGTTTTATTTTTTAAAAGGTCATTTTTCAAAGATAGAAGGCCTCTCTTTGTTGTGCCTATTCCCTTCCCAGATTGTTCCTTATAAGTCCATGCTGTAGCTATTCCCAAAATCAACTGCTCATTTTATAAAAACAAGAAAAATTAGAACTATAAATAATATATGAAGGCTGTGAACATTTTGGAAATCTCACTGTCCTCGGGTTGATGCGGACTCATAGTGATTCTATAGGACAGAAACTCTGGGTTTCTGAGACGGTGAATCTTCATAGGAGTCGAAAGCCTCCTCTTTCTTCTGTGGAGTGGCTGGTGGTTTCAAATGGCTGACCTTAGGGCTAGTGGCTCAACTTGTAACCCACTATGCCGCCAAGACTCTTTTGGAAATCTTAGAATGTTCTTAAAGTCATTGCCCTGGTCTGGTCTTCCTGGCTGCATTTTTAGAGTTATCACATATATCTCCTCTCCCACTTCTTCTGCCCTGTTCCTGGAATTCTCCACTTGTGACTCTCCAAGAAAGAAACTTCACCCAGGTATCCAGGCAAGAAGTAATAGATACTCATCGATTTTAAGCAGTTCGCTTGAATTTCTGAGACTTTCCAAATACCTACGTCTATTTGATTTCATCTCATTTGCTTTGTCACTTATCCTCCTTTTCAGAGTTAATCTTCCTCTCTGGGCTTCATGCTACATTGGCTCTTTGCTGCCGTTTCTTTCTCTGACATTGTAAATGAAGAGAAGCGACAATTACAGTGAACTGCCTGTATTAGTTTTGTACTTTGGAGAAACAAATCCACGGCGACTCACGTATAAGAGAGAGTTTTATGTAAAGAAAAGGTGCATCACGAAAACATCCCAACCCAATGCTGCCCAAGCTCATAAGTCCAACATTAACCCATTAACCCAACACCAGTCCACAAAGTCCTCCACCTCACAAAACAGAGGCAATAATGCCGACTGCAGGAGGAAAGCTGAGTCAGTGAACGTGTAAGCATCTCAGCACTGGCAGGGGTCTCCACATGGCTGTTCCAGCACCCAGGGCTGCATCAGGATAGATCCATGTGGCTTCTCCTTGGGGATGTCTTGTAGGAAGTCAATCTTGCAAGCTGAAGCAGGGAACTGCTAAGGCAGCTGCACCCGATGCAACCATCACAAAACAAGAGACCTGAGAACTAGAAAGGCGAGGCTTCACCACCCATTTATCCCTCCGCCTTTCAACCAGACCCACATGTGATTATTGGCCAGGCTGGCACAATTAACTAACTCACTGCCTATGTGACTAGTTTGGCCAGACAATGCTTTGCTCATGAGAGGGGAATTTTCTGAAATTATGAAGTTGAAATAAACTCCATTCGCCCTCACTATTCCATCTAACATCTTCAGTGGTTAGCATCAAAATAGGTGCATATTGACCTGAGTGTATCTTTTATGGAGATCACTGTCCTGGGGGGTCACTTCAGGGAAGCCCCTGGACCAATATTGTCAGGCCCCTTGACTAACCTGGTGTACCAAATCCTTGCCCTGGTTCCCTGAACTTAGGACATTCTATCAGTCTGCCACCAACCATATTTTTGTGATAGTTTTCTTTGACCTCTCTTGTGCTCTCTAAAGCTCTGTATCTCAGTAAACCCATGGACATCATTATGATCCCAGGCTAATGGTCTCCATCATTTGGATGATATGACTTTGTAGTTATCTTTTCCTTGTTCAGTTTAAACCTTAATACACTTTCTCTTTAGACGATTAACCAGGCATGCAATAAAATCAATCACCATCAAGTAGAGTCCAACTCATGGCACCCTCGTGTGTGTCAGAGTACAATGGGGTTCTGTACAATTTTTTTAATGGCTTGTTTTTCAGAGTTAGAACACCAGGCCTTTCTTCAGGGGCACCTCTGGGTGGACTTGAAACTCTAATCTTGTGGTCAGCAGCTGAGCATGTGAACTGTTTGCACAATCTAGGATTTCAGGTGAGAATAGCTAGTGAGAACGAGAGGTGGACTTTACTCTTAATGGTTTTGAACCTGAACCTGGATAGGGTGAAACCAGAATCTGCTTGGAAAATTAGTTCCACCTGCAGATTATGCCAGATCCCATAACCCTGCAGGCAGGGATCATGCCATCATTTCACTTATTGTGACTCTGGTACATTTTTCAGTTGAAGAAACTAGGGTCCCTGCTAAGGTCTTAGCAGGGACATGCAGGTTCACCGGACCCTCAGTCCTACGCTAATCCCAATTCTTTCAAAGTCCAGGTAGATTCAAAAGCTCAAAAACACTGAGCTTGATGTCAGTTCTTCTTTTTTGGGTTTCATTATTAGACAATCCCCTTGTTCTATAGAAAGTTCTACAACACATGTACCAAAGCCCCTGAAAGGAATTAAATGATGATTCTAAATGAAGCTTGAACATCTGCTAGCTGCCCAGATGCTAATATGTTAATTATGTTAGCTATATTTTTTGCAGTGTCTTCCAAACTTCAGTTCTATGAGCATGGCCTTCATAATTTTCTCAAATCTACATACCTAAATCTGTATAGTTATTAACTTAATATTTGCCTGGACACTATCTTTAAAGTACTGTGTCCTTTAGCTTTGTCGCAAGCTGTAATACCTATGAGGCCAGGATGTGCAGTTACTTTTAAATATACACATCATCCAAATGCATTACTAACATCAAAACGCCACCTTTCAAACACAACAATGGTTGGGAAGCGGGTATGGGATCGGTGGGGTTGTTTTGTCAGACATAGAGTCACTGTGAATCAGAACACATTCAGCAACCAGTAACGACAGACTTCTCGTAGTATCTAATTTAATTACCTCCAAGTACTCACATACTACAAAAATCCTGAATTGCCTGTATCATGTCCTTTCACTATTGTCCAATACAGGAGAAAGATGAGACTCTGTTCCCATAAAGATTTACAACGGCTCAGAAACCCTCTAAGTCAGAATTGATGCGATGGCTGTCGGTGTTCTAGTCCAATACGGCCTTACCTTGTCACCATATAGGAAACCAGTGTTGGCTCTACAGCTTAGCCCAGGTTAAGTCTGAGCATCTCCAAGTGCTCCAGAACCCAAGTTCAAGTCTGACTGACACCCAAGCCTATGCGCTTAACCAAGTCACTTTCTGACGTGGGGGATACCCTGCTTTGTCAGTAAAATTCGCCAGATAATAACATACAGTTCCTACTCTGTCAGGGGCACAAACCCCACCCCACCCCCCACCCCCGCTCCAAACGAATATTGTGACATAGATATGGGTGCTAGAGTGCGGTTAGAGGAAACTTTTAAGGGAACAACAATACTGAGCCCTTTTGTATTTTATATTTCTATTTTGAGGAATATCAAATCTACAGAGAAGTTGAGTGCAATCATGCATACCCTTCCCCCACATTCACCAGTGGTTAACACATGTGCTGAACTCTTGCTGTATGTGTCATGTTGGCTGAACCAATTGAAAATAAATAGCAGATGTTGTGCCATCTCACTCCAAAATACTTCTGTCAGTACTTATTGAGAACAAAGACATTTTTTCTACATAATGGCATTATAGCCAATACACCCAAGAATATAACACCAGTACACTAAGATGACATAATACAAACAAGCAAAACACCCCCAATCTATTGCTGTAGACTTGATTACAACTCAGAGCAATCCTATAGGACAGGATAGAACTGCTCCATAGGGTTTCCAGAGGAGGGGGCAGACTGCCGCAGCGTTCACTCATAGGTCAGCACATGATAGTTTCTCAGATGCTTCCATAATGTCCCTTGTGACTGTGTTCTCCCTTTCTCGAAGTCAATGCCAGCTCTCCTACTGCACTCGGCTGTCAGATCTCAGTTTACTTTACAACAGTCCTTCCATTCTCCACAGAGTGGTATCTTTGGAGAGTCCACTTCAGTTGTAAGCATTAGTTACATTCAGGTTACACTGTCTTCTTTTTCTTTTGTACATAGCCGTAGTAATATGGTTATACAGAATGACGAGAAAAAGTTAGGCAGATTAGTCAGAAAATATGGCAAATAACTTAAAAACCCCATCATTAATGAATAAATTACAGGGTTTTTATTTTTCGCTGCCAAGGGAATTACTCATTGGCTAGGTAAAGAGAACTAGCGTTGATCGGTGGGAGCCAACATCCCATGAAGCCTGGATTTGCTGATTGACTTAAGCACATTTTTCTATTAATTGCCTCAAAAGCAGATTCAAAACCAGCACAATGCTGCTTTACCTTATCGCCTGCCATTTGAGTGGGTGGGAGTCCTCCTCCTAAATCCAGACCCTGAAGAGCATGTGGCACATGCAGCTGGTCAGCCCTGCCAGTCTAATCCCTGCTCTGCCCAAACCTAGTTATACATTGGAGGAGGAGGGGCAAAGGGAGGGAGGAGTTGGCCCACCGCATACCTAAGAGTTGAAGTCTACTTTGCAGAGCGGCTGCATATTTATAGGAAGCTAATCAATAAACACCTTGCCTCAGCGACCTGGGTCGTCAATGCCTTTGTTCCACCAGGAAAGAACACAGGAGCAGGTCCTTCAGGCGTAAGTTACAGACCCGAGGCTGTCACACGTGAAGGTGTGCGTGGAGTGTGGCAGTCACTGGCCAGGTGAAGAGAACTCTCTGGGGCCTTTGGTGGAGGATATGCGGTGGGGGAAGACAGATCAAGGGTGGGCTTGGGGGACCTGCTGCTCTTTGCTCCAGGGAGAGATGCACAGAGGCGTGGGTCCTGTAGAGCTGGGCTCTGGGGCAAGAGACTGCTGTAGGCGTGAGCGCATGAGCTTTGGGGTGTGATGGGCTTGGCTTTGAATTTCAATGTGTTACTTTTCTGTGTCTCCCCCCCACCTCCTTACCTGATAAAAATGGAAATAACAGAACATAGGCTGTTTTATTGAGAGCATTAAGTAAGCTAATATATGGTGTGCTTAGCCTGATTCACACACACACACACACACACACACACAGATCAGCAAAGGGTGGTGGTGATGATGATTCTTGTTGGCTCAGGGTGTTGAGGTCATTGCTTGAGGTGAAGCTGTTCCTACAGCTTAAGTCTGTGCCCTGTCTTACTCCTCTGTGATAGACAGTTACCATGGGGTCCCAGGCAGTAGAAAGTCATGAGAGGGGCCACTAAGTCTTCAGTGGAACTGATCCCAGAGGAGGACATCTAAGCACAGCAGCAAAGGGAGGTTCTTTGAAGAGAGAGCCGTGCAGGGGCAGGAGAGACTCGGATTTATTTGTCTGTGCTTTCACCTCTTCTGTTCATTCCCCCAGAGGAGGCTTGTTGGAAACCAGTTGCCACTCCTAAGGAGAACGATGAGACATCTGCTCCCATATCGAGGTAGAGTTTCCGAAACCCACAGGGACAGTCTGCTATGCCCTATAGGGCCGCCATGTGTCAGAATACACTCAAAGGCAATGAATTAGGTTTTGAGCTTGGTTTGGTCTGCTTCCTCGAAGAGCGACAGTGTTGGAGACGCTATATAGGCAGTGAGTCTGGTTTTTGAGGTCCCCCCCCCACATTGTTATCAACGCCACATTGAGACCTGACAAGCCTAGGTTGCTCGATATAAACCAGTAAATGATTCCGTTCCAGCCTCCAGGATTTTAGAGAGCCCACCCAAACCCCACGCTGTGGGGTGCGTGCGATGAAGAAACGCGGCGCCCCCTCGCCAGCAGGCTCACACTAGGCACAGGGAGATGTGGAACCACTACGCACAAAACCAATACATTCAAACTCATTGCCACCCAGTGGTGGCAACCCCCCGGGGCACAGCAGGACCGCTCCCCAGGTGTGGTGTCCCAGGTGGGCAGGCAGCCTCCTTTTTCTGCGGCGTGGGTGGGGTGGTGTCCCAACGCAGACCTTTCCCTGGGCAGCCAGTGCTCAACCATTCTGTCACCCAGGCTCCGCAACGCTACCTGCAGCGCAGACGTTCCCCCTGGACATCAGGAGGGAGGGAAGGAGGGCTAAGCTTTATGGCGGCTCCCGGCTGGCTGGGGCTGGCTCTCTGCCCTCTGCGTAGCTTCAGTGGTCAGCGCAGGCGCGCAGCTCCGTGGGCAGCAGCGTGGGAACAGTCCGTGGCGCGCCCGGCGCTCGGTGGCCGCACTCGCTCGCCCGCTCCGCGGTCTCTGCGCTTCGTTCCGCTCCGCTCTGCGTCCGCGGGCGACCGGCCCTGCGTTTGGCAGAGCGGCCGGCCTCCAGCAGCCGCGATCCCTTAGCAGGCGGTTTCCAGAGACCTGACCCGCTGCGGGAGAGGGTCTTTGGAACGCAGCCAGAAACACAGCTGTCCGCAACCTTAGCTGTTTGAACTTTCCTCTAAGAATGGTGAGTCTTTAACTCAGGGCAGGCCCAGGTGTGCGGGCGGGGTTTAGTGCAGGCCCTTGGAGGGAGACTTCAGGTAAACCTTGATCTCCTGAGTG